CCGGGAATTGAAGAGGGTTCAATTGAATCCTATTTTCTTTCAACCTCGATTATAGTGACATAAGGTATTAATAAGGTGCACATACTTGTATATAGATTCCTCTTCAAAATGGTACAGTGGAGATAAGTTCTTAGAGGGGTAAGCTTAGCTAAAATTATGGGTTTAATTTGGAAATACACATAACTTGTATACGTACACCAATAAAAGTATATGATGACACAAAGGGAATTGAAGGTTGGTGGACTTAATTTCTTATACGATGTATACGATGAGACAATATACTTCATAGCATATTAGCATATACTTCGTACAATCGTACATCGTACAACATATATCGATACATATAATATACCAGTTTTTACACGCGCGTTGCGCGGTTAGATAGATGCCCAACGATACACACATATGAAATACATTTTTCTAATCATTGCTACAGGATGCATGAGAATAAGTTATCCAAAAAACATATAGTGTGAACAAACCACTAAGTAAGGTGAAGTCGTGAACCAACCACCAAGCAAATTATCCAACTGAAAAAGAATTGTATTTCCTTCTGCACGCTAACATAAGTCCATCTCTCAAGAAATTGTTGTCATCATCAGCATCCAAAAGTATACCTAGAAATTCTAACAACAGCAAAGCTATAAAAGAAATACAAAACCCAATCAATGCAATAACCTAAACGCATATATCTATTCTTTTCATCCTTCATTCTCAATAATGGGATGCAAATTACCCACCAAATATAACCTATACAAGCTTATTGTCTTCTTTTCTCATAGAAAATAGCAACAATAATAATATTCTTAAAACTGTTAGCACTGTTTGCAGTTCCTTTTTTGGCCAAAAGTAATTCCGTTTTCTCAAGAATTAATCTTCAACATTGGTTAAAAAAGAACGCAAACTATTCGAATTCTACCTAAGCTCAATAACTTATTGTAAGGAATTTAACATCATAAACACACCAAGAGTGTCACTCATTCAGATGGAAAGAAATTGATTTTACTTTTCAGTGATATTTGTAACATTGTTTGATAATAGATTAAATAGCCTGGTGCATGCTACAGTACGTTACGTATCGGCCACACATGAAATATATATATTGGAAACACTATTCTTTGGCAGGGCAATGAGTAGAAAAAGAGAGATCTACATTGTTATTAAAATTCACAAATCTGACCAATATAGCATCATCCACAAGCAATTTCTCAATTTTAAAATATTTTTTTATTGCACTATAGAAGTGTTTTATGTTATATTTTTATATCTGATATTTAAAACACTCACAATATAATAGTACTGTGTACAGTATGCCGGTACTAAAAGCATTTTGAACTGACGTATCTCCTAATATGTATGCCACTTTTAGAGACCTAAGGTTAAGGCCCCTAATGCTACCCGTCATCTAGATAAGCAATTAACCTCTGATGACTTTAAGATCTGGTATGCACTTTTCATTGAAGCTTCTAAAGTATATATATATTACGATATATATGTACTATACATAAAGAATTATTATATGTTATTCTCTTTTACTTTCATTTTAAATTTTATTTTTTATGACAAAGTATATTCATAAATTTTCATATAAAATTGATTTATAAGGGATCATCAAGTACATACGTAGTATATTCTTTGAAGTGATGAGTTAAGGAGTCAGGCCTATTTATATCCCATTTTGAAAGACCTAATGCAAATGGATTCATTGCCATCCATATAGAACTTCTCTTGAGCATAGCTACAAAATGAATAGCTGAGTACAAAAAAAAATAACATTCTAATCCATTAGTCTCTAATCGTTTTAAAGGGTTCACTTTTCATTTTATCTTCTATAGGATATACATATACTGAGAAAACTTCATGTCCAGCCGGTCTGACGGGGACCGCCGTCCGGCCGAGGACATTTTGGGCACTTCCCGATCGAATTTTTTGATGCAATTTTTTGAGCATGTTCTTCATCAAGTCTAGACTTTTCCAGAAAAATATTCTCTCAATGTAATATGCTCAAATAAAAAATCACTTTCCTCAAGGGAATCAAGAATTTCATATATCATTACCGGAATAAAATGATAGCAGAGACGGTGGCTGCACGACCGAGTCACGACATGGATAAGGGCGGCGTCAGAAGCACAACAAGCTCGTGATGGCGGTGCCGGAAGCTAAGGCAGAGAGGAGGAACCTGATCTCATCGAGCTTGGTCGTTTCTTCATCTACGCTCATCTGGCCGGCTACTTCTCCCAGATCTAATCGGCTAATCTGAAAGTTTACCAAGTGGGGCGGTTATGTAAGATAAAAATGGCGAAGCATCTAGGGTTTGTGATCGAAAAATGTACTCCGTAAGATAAAAGCACAATGCTCTGAAAAAGGTGTACTCCTTTTCCAAACGTATTTTTAAATCTTAATTAAGACGGAATAAGGAAATAGAGGCGCTTACATAAATAAAAGCGCTGCGCGTATCTTGAAATCGCATTTTAATTAGAATCGTTAAAGTATTTCAGGCGCTTATTCTTCAGAAGCGTCGCACGCCTCTTTAAATAAAAATTCATATAATTCGTTTAGGGTTTAGAGGCGCTTCAACCTATAAGCGCCTCTAACGAAGCGCCTCCCTTTGATGTTTTTCTACTAGTGTCTAGTTTATCCATACCAAATTTCAGCTCAAAATTCGATCGGGAAGGCATTCAAATCATTTTTTGAAGTTGACTGCGTTTTTATATGTATATTTTGACGCAGTCAACTTCAAAAAATTATTTGAATGTCTTTCCGATCGAATTTTGAGCTGAAATTTGGTATAGATAAACTAGACTTGATGAAGAACATGCTCAAAAAATTTCATCAAAAATCGGGAAGTGTGCGAAATGCCCTTGGCCGGACGACGGTTCCCGTCAGGCCGGCTGGACAAGAATGAGACTGTGCATATACTATACCTTATAATGTAGCTAAATAGCTAATGACAAACAAAACTTAAAATACAAGTAGGCATTGTAGAAAATGATGACTTATAATATATTACCTCGGCTCTCAGGTGGAAGACTGGGTGAAACAAATTAAAATGTCAATTATCTCTTTGGCCTAAAAAAAATCATATCTAAATCACAAAACTACCAATAAATACTGTGAATTCCTGTTTTGATGCAGATATGATAATTATGAGCCCGTTTGGTGACCCCTTTTTTCAGCTTATCACGCTTATCAGTCAGCTTTTTCACCAAACACATAACTTTTGATTTCGCGCGCTGAATTTTGTAATAAGCAGAAAAAGTAAGGTTGGAATTACTTTTCTGGCTGTATTGGCTGAAGTTACTGTAGAAGATCATTTTAACTATTTTTCATATAATTTTTTATTTAATTTATTAATAATAAATATTTTAAATATAATTTTTTTATGAATCGGTAGAATCAGCCAATACAGCCACTTCAGCCTTCATAAATTTTAGCAGAATCAGCCAATTCAGCCAATTTTAGTGTTACCAAACCGGCTCTATATATGTCATAAATCACAAGCTTGCTACTAACCACATAAACTACACATACATATGTGATAATTACAATGCAAATATGCAATTAGACTCTTGTAAGCTTGTACCAAGTATATATCAATTCATGCATGGTAAATGACCTTTTTGAGAGATTATTAAGCAGAAGACTGTTTTGAAAACCACCAGTAGTCGGTCAAGTTTGAAAAAGTAATTTAGAACAAAACATGGTATGCAAAGCTATGCTGAAATAAAGGTTATTGATTCAAATCAGAATAGTGACAAGCTTATTTCTAAAAACAGTACCACGTATAATACAGCAAAATACATTATCAAAGTGGGTTATGGAAGACAGAAACTGAAGATGGACATGCACAAATTGACATGAGAACGATTAATTGGGAAAAGTTGAAGAAGAGTACAACAGAGTTGTGGTGCAAATGAGTGGCGTCATATTTATACCCAAAATCTGGGAAGGCTTGGTCTCCTACACCATTTCGGATCCACAATCGAAGAAACAGGGGTGCTGTATATATAGTAGGAGAGTTGACCTGCAATGATGAGAATATTGGGGAAAAAATAAACCAGACAATCGAACTACACAAAATTGAATTACATAAAATTGAAAGACGAAGAGAGGACATGTTTTCTTGAGCAAATGAATGATGGATTTTGGTGGGGGCTAAAAAGGAATGCCTAATCCCTGGCTAGCGGTGGAGATGGAGAAGGGAACACATGTGTAATTGCATATACTCAAACGATGAAGTTCAAAGCATGTAAACCTTAAATGAGGACACGTGGCTCAACAAACGGAGTTTTAACGATAGTAATGTGGGAGTGAGACCGAAACGGAAAAGTCGTCCGATCTGTAGCTGTATAAGAACGTAATAAAAATGTACAGGCATATAAAGTTATCCAATCCACCAACACATTTTTGAAACCTAAAATACCCTTACCCCTACTCTTATAAGATTGTAGGATGTTGCACAAATAATAAAATAGACATCTAGTGGACAAGACAAGCTCAATTCAGACCACATTTAAACAAAACAAATCAACCTGACCAGATTTGAAAGTGTCACTCCAATTAAAAACAACCAGATTTATATGTTACTTCAAATACCTAAAAATCAATAGGCGAGAAAATCCCCTAAATAGAATTTAAACCATGATAAATGGCATAAATAGGTCTATCATTGTTTTATTCCTAAAATGTGACTCTTTCACTCCTATTTTGGGAAGTTTCAATCAACTTATTCTTCTATTGTTATTAAATAAGTCATGTTTGAGGAATATAACATATTTAATCCTATTTTTAAATTTTGTGTATGCTTTAGTCCTACATTGAGCAATTTCTAAATCAATACTACTAATACCCTTTTATTACTAGCATAAGTAATCTCTCTATCTCGTTAAAATGGTCTCATCTTTCTTTTTCGGGCCGTCCTACTAATATGTTAAGTACCTTATGGTCTGATGACACTACTTTTGATCTATCAAAGTATGTATCACAAGTTTGAGTCTCATGCTAATTAAAGTTATTGACATAATCTTGAGCATATACATTACGTAGTACGTATAATAGTTTTAGAATGATGTACAAAAAATACAAAAACAGCACCCATAAATAATGGTTTCAAAGAAATTAATATTGATACAATTACGTAATTGAAGAACAATAATCAGTCCGGAGTATGTATACTCCAATATAATTATATGATTACACAAAGGGAAGGTTGGAGGACTTAATTTCTCAGTGTGACACTACACTGTCTACATATATATTGGTAAATATAAATATATATATGTCCCACAAATAATAAATCATTATGAAATGTTTTTTTGGTGTCCTATCATCATTTTCTTTTTCCTTAACAGCACTGCGTACTAAATAAACACTTACTAATTATTTTATTATAGCAACAAATTAAACCCATTCATTTATTTATGATAATAATAATTAGGGTATTCCAATAATAGGAATGAAAGGCATGTAATAGCTAGTGGGAGCAAGTCCCCACTCCTTGGGCAGATCAATGGTTTTGGACGACCCGAACACCAAATCTCCGGGAGCTCCACATTTCTTGTTCGGGCATTCGGTGTAAAACCTCAGCGGCTCCGAGGTTGTATACGGGCTGGGTCCGAGTGATTTGATGATCTTAGACTCCGAGGTTGTCTTATGGACATATAGCTGTTGGGCGCCTCCGAGAATCTTTGCTCGGCAGCTGGCGGCGGAAACCGGTGGGTTTGAAGTAAGAGTGGTCTCAAAGCTGCCGTCCTCTTTTGTAAATGCCACCGTGGCCAACTTCTTTCCCTCATCGCACTTCACCGAGACCATGATTCCTTGTAAACAGTAAGATCATGAAACAAATAAGAGGAAACTCAAATGCATAATTAGAAAAGAAATCGCTCTAAATAGGAATAAAAACGCTTGTGAATTCCAGTTCAAAATGTAGAAATTATGTTACTAATCCTTAAATATGAGTAATTATTATTTTCATGTTTTGGCATTACCAAATTCTAATTATAAAAGTGTTTCATACACTTCACAATAATCACTCATAGTTTCAAAATGTTTTTCTATATTATGGGATTTTCCCTAGGTAGAATCATCGTTGTGTTATGACTAAAATAGGACTCATTAATTAATTCCGATTTGAGGAAGCTTGATAGTTTTAATAGTATCAAATGAATCCTATTTAATTTGGGGGGTTATATGAAGCCTTATTTTTATAATTTGTCTTTGTTTTAATCATGTTTAGAAAAATTTCCTAACAAAAAGTAATTAAGATATACTACCCCCGTCCCATTTATATCGGAAGAGGGTGGCACGGTTATTAAAAAAAGTAAGTTTGTGTGGTTGATATTAATTGATAAAGTAAGAATAAAGTAAGAATGATTTAGAGCCACACAAACTTTGCCAAATATGGTATGGGACAACTGAAGTGGGACTTCCCGAAAAGTTAAAACGGGACAATATAAATGGGACGGAGGGAGTATATACGAAGAATAGTCGGTTAAAAAAATACTTGTAGTCAACGGCGACATTATATCGTGTTAAAAAATTAGTCCCGTAACTATTACATGTATCCATGACAAGTTTTGATGTAAATTTATTCACTTGCAGAGTTGCAAGTCAAGTATTATAATTAAAAATTTATAAGAAATTACATTAACTAAGATTAAATAATTGTACCATTTTGGTTTTCTTGGTCAATGTTCTCAAACTTCGACCAATGATACACGAAGTATTAATATACAAAAACTTGATAAGAAAATGTACTTGGTTAATAAGCCTCCCATAACCGTACAAAAATGTTTACCAAAAAAGTTAAAGACGACAAATTCTTATTTAGGAGGCAATAACCTAAAGTCTTAAAGCTGAAAATATTAAATTAAGATGATAGTTCATACTTGGAGTGAAGGAAAATAGAAGGCAAATTAACAAGTGTACATATATACCTGAGATATCATGATGGGAAACACAATCCATGCAGGAAACAGAGCCCTTGATGACAAAGGAAGCCGTGAAGTGTGTCCCGCATGCAAGACCCAAAGTCATGATGAACAGTGCGGTGATCAAAGTTTGATGAGTCACCATAATGCTGCACTATTTTTTTGTACAATGTGTTTTAAGAGCTACAGAAGTTGGTCTTGCTGCATGGATATTTGAAGTGAGGGAGCAAGAAATGTATGAAGGATATATATATAAAGCTAGGCAAGTAAAGCAATTGCCTGAAGTTGGCAGTTAATGAAGGAACCCAATGCTGAACGAGTAGGTAGCTGAAATCAATTTTTGAATACATAAGTTGTTGAGATCAATGATCCATAAAGGATGGCAGTAAATGTATTTACTGTATTCACAATATTATTACACCATAAAGGTGGACTTAATGATCATTTCATTTCATTTCAATGATATATGGAGCTAGGCAGATGTCTCTTAACTAGGAGCCCGGCTTAATTACTACGGGATCTAATCACTCTAAGCAATTGCCTATATTAGCTCATTGAAGTAAGGGTGTGTTTGCAACAGTTTCTGTTTTTAAAAAAATGCTTTTTTTTAATGAAATGTGGAGAAGTTTTAAATAAAAGTTGATAGTGTTTGAGAAAAAAGTGATTTTGAAAAGTAAAAGTGGGTAGCGTTTGGTAAAATAAGTGTTTTTTGTGTAATAGAAAAAGTAAAAACACTTTTGACGCGGAAGTCGAGAAAAATAAAAGTTGTAGTGTTTGGAAAAATAAGTGCTCTTTTAAAGCCAAAAGTTGAGAAGTGTTTTTTTTAAAGGAGTTGCAAACCAACCCTAACTACTCTTAATGAAGACTTGCATTTTAAAAGGAGTAACTTAAAACACATATTTAGGATTTAGGAATATCTTATTCTTGCCTACGTCATCAAACCTTAACAAAAAAACTTTGATTTGGTCTGCGGACTGCGGAGTACATAATTTGCTTGAATTTTTAAGGACAAATGCAACCAAATGCATCATCATCATCGTTCCTACTCGAGAGCCACAAAAATTTCCGCCTACGAATCTACGATACACTAAGGAGGGATCAGATCTACGCAATCGGGTTGAAATCACATTCAAAATTGCACGAACTGATTGCTGCTTCATAACCTGAAGTACAGACAGTTTCATGAGTAATTATTTTATTTGGTAACCAAATAGATATGGTTCCTAAATTGGGCAATTTAGAAAATGACGTTTTGACAAAGAATCAACAATTTTAGCCTATTGTATTTGGCAAACAACAATTTGGCTTGACGTTTTGGGTTGAAAACACCAGATTGAAAAGGCTAATAATAATAGTGTTTAGGTTCAACATTTTAGTTACATGCCAACTGCTAAGAGTAAAATAATACGGAGTACTAGTACTTGTAAGTATATTAGGCCCAACTACGGGAAGGGGCCCAAATACCTCTAGCGGCCCAGGCGACGATGGACCCAACACTCATGTGGGGAATAATCCGCTTAGGCTCAGTTGAGGTCCCTATCTCGCACGGCATGCACTGAACATGTAACGAGCAGGATGCCTCATTGTGCACTTGGAATCTTCTCACTTTTGATTTCCACGTAATTGGACTATTTTAGCAGGGAATTGGCGGGAAATCAAGAATTTTCGGGAAACGCATTATTTAATGGTCCATATATGGGAGATTTTATGGTTGTTACCCACTCAGACTCTCCACATCCCCCGGCTCACACCTACTACCTTATAGTATAAATATTCACATTTATTTCATTTTAAAGAGATGGTAAACTTGCATTCGATAACTTAGTCTCTTTCTCTACTCTCTGTGTAAACTCCCAGCTTAATAGAACAATAGGTTAGAGGCTCGGTCTCAGTAAGGGTGTGTTGTAACCGTTCTACATTCATTAAATAGAACCAGACACACTTTACCATCTATTTTATTGTGCGCTCATTTCCATTTATTTTCTATTTACTCACTAAACCAATCCACACATAAAAAATCCTATGAAAATCCGAATGATTGTACGTATTGGGCTTCTGGAACACGGGGACTTAACCCCAACACTACTTTATCAAACACATTTTTGCAACCAGCAAACTCAATCTATCCGCTAGTTAAATTTGCTGACTTGTTAAAATATTTGTGTCAGAGGATTGGTATAAAACAATAAATAACTATATAAGATTATGTGCTACCATTTTTATCTGAATGAGCTTTTAAGATGAAATCTCATGTCTTAACATGATATTAGAGTCATGTCTCAGCTCGTTGTTGTTAGATTGTGGTTTAACATTCACGATTAAGGCTAGCTCGTTAAGAGTCTTTTTGACTCATTTAGACATCTAGATCTATGTTGTCCAGTTGATCTCGCTCATTTGAATTGAGTGGACGTGTTAAAGTATTTGTTTCAGATCAGATTGATGTTAAAATTATGATCTACTCCTATCAAATTAATTTTTTAGGATGATATTCTAAATCTTTAACACAATTGAATATGTTAGCGGTGGGCGAGGTCCGGAACGGTCCGGTAAATTGGTAAAACCCGTAATGTAACCGTGAGGTTTTTAACGGTCCAGTAGGGTCCAGTTCTAAGAACGGAACCGTTGGGTATCATGTCGTTTCGGAACAGTACAAAACAGTACGATACAATGCCAAACACATGCTAAAAAATTTGAACAAATCTTACAATTAGTATATATCATCACACCAATCAACTCACGTGAAATGTTGATATAAATACAAGAAATTGCATACGTAGTACTAAAATTCACAAATACACAAATAGTGCAACACAACTAAAAAAAATATAGTAAAACGATGAATTCGGTTAAGTACTAGATACTAAGTGAGTAGTACTAAGTACTAACCATTGAAAGCCAAACAAAGCCGTTATGAATTACTCCGTATGATATTAATTTGTTACGGTACTTGGCACTTGCAATACTATTTTAGCACAGTGCTTTATTAATTGCCAAATTTTGTTCTTTTCTGAATGTATAGTAGATGTGTACCAGTGATAGATGGGGTAAATAAGCGCGCCCTTCTAACCAGTATGATCAATTAAGATCCATATATAAAATAGGGAAAATGGAAACTAATAATCCAACCTTTTAGCGGTCTTCTTACAATAATCCAACCTTTTGGTTATTCATGAATAATCCAACCTTTGCACCTCATTTTCATTCAATGGTCCCTGCTTGGTTGATGACCTTCTATTCCAAGCTATTTTCTTATCTTTGCAAATCATTATACCATAAATTTCATCTTTCACAAAGGTAATATTTTGCAAAGATGAGAAAATAACTTGGAATAGTAGGTCATTAACCGACCAGGGACCAGTGAATGAAGATGAGGTGCAAAGGTTGGATTATTCATGAATAATCAAAAGGTGGGATTATTGAAAGAAGACCGCTAAAAGGTTGGATTATTAGTTTCCATTTTCCCTATAAAATAAGGGAGATTTCAACAAATAGGATCTAATCACCCTGATTTTCCAAAATTAAGACTACAGATTAGCATAAGACCTAAGTACATCTGTTTTGACCAAATTGCCCTCTTGATTAAATAACCCTGCGCATCAAACAAACTTTGCGCAAACTTCACCGACCCGACACCTTGAGATCGATCGATCGACGACGCATCAGATACCTTGCTCTCTCCTCTTCACGATTGAGATTGATCGACGACCAGCATCACCACCGCTGCTGATTTCACCATTACCGGTGTTGAAACACCATCGCCGACGCATCAGATAGCTGCTCCAGGGACGCCACCGCCATAGGTTTGTTCTTCATCCTCATCATCATCGTCATCATCTTCTTCTTCTTCTTCTTCTTCTTTCTGATTTTGGACATTGATTTTGCCAATTTCGAACTTCAATTTCATATTTTCACAAAGTCACCAGATACTCTGCAAAACTTTTGAAGAAATCAGATCCAAAAGCAATACATAGACAATAAGTAGTCAGTATATAGACAATAAGTTCTAATAATAGCTCAATAGCAGACAATACATAGACAATAAGTAGTCATTAACCAGACAATAAATTCTAATAATAGCTCAATAACAGAGCAGGTAACGTAAAACTGGGAGGACATTGAACTTGACCTTGAAATTGGGAGGAAAGGCTTATTAGCATCGTCCTAGGGAGGATATTGAACTCGATCTCACGGATAGTTCTCCATGGCCGTGATTGCTACGAAATTGATTTTTTGTCTTTGTGTGTGTTTACGTTTCCGGCGATGACAGGCGACGACCTCTCTGGCGGCAGCGATGAACGACGGTGAACTACGTTGTAATCTGCGACGAGGAGATGAGTCGATTTCCTCGGACGCGTCTTCTCCTTGATTGACCTGCAATGAAGAAGGGCAAAAATGGAAAGAAACAATAACGTTTGCTAAAATAGAGCTAAAATAAACCTACGGATGGCAAAAACATGGACGAGTCTTACTTTTGTAAATTGCATATGATTTGGTCTTACGCAAGGCAATTTTCTCATAAAATAACCTCTCAACTTCTGGCCTAGTAACATGCCATTACAAATCTCCCTAGAACCAATATCAAAAACTTGGTGACATCCTAGATTCCTAGTCCTCAAAATGTAGTATTTAACTCGCATGACAAATCACTTTGGCCTAAAAACTCTAGAAAGAGGTGAGGTTGGTTAGTTGGTAGTCTTCCCTAACTTTTTTTTGTCTTTCATCTCCTACCATTCATCTTACTGTTTCTTAATGAAGTAGCTTAAGTTGGTCTTAAATATGTTCATCATGCGTTATCTAAATTTTAGATAACCTATCAAGCACGATAATTCTCGCTTCTACGATAACTCTCAAAATAATTGTTTTTGTACTAAAAGATGACGTTTCTCGCTTCTACATTATTCTCACGTTTACGTGCAACTCACCAAATAACTTTGAAACGAATTCATTTTAAGTGATTTTAATATGTTCAACTAGATTAATTTATATGCAAACTTACTTTTACAGCATTCGCCTGATTTATCTAATTATTATTCAAATTTATATTCTTGTACATGTCTATATATACACGGTCATCATTTGTTTATTTCTTTTTATTAAACTTGAGTTCACTTAAATTTATCTTAATTTACTTGAGTTTACTATTTTGAGATGGACACTAAATAACGAACCTCGAGAGAGGTAATCAGGTAATAAGAGCATCCATAATGATAGTGTCATGTTTTTAGTTCATAATATATCCTATCTTATCATATACTCCCTCCGGTCCCAAAATAATTTCACACTTTCTGTTTTGGGTAGGTCCAAAATAAACTTTACACTTTTATTTTTGTCAA